GAAATCTGCCTGCCTCTGCCTTCCGAGTGCTTGGATTGAAGGTGTGCGCCACCACTGGGCCAGAACTGTGGTGTTTTAAGTGAGAAATGCTCTCCACAGGCTCAGGTGTTTGGACTCTTGCTCTCTGGTTGGTGGCACTGATTAGGGTGTTATGGAAGTATTAGGGTGTAGAGCCTTGCTGGGAGAGGCACAGCATGGGGTAGGCTTTGAAGATTTACAGACCTGCCCCATCCCCTCTCTCTCTCTCTCTCTCTCTCTCTCTCTCTCTCTCTCTCTCTCTCCCTCTCTCTCTCTCTGCTTCTTTTTTTAATATTTCTTTTGGGGGTGAGGGTTTTTAAAATTTTATTTATTATGTATCCCTGCACTCCAGAAGAGGGCCCCAGATCTCATTACAGATGGTTGTGAGTCACCATGTGGGTTGCTAGGACCTCTGAAGAGCAGCCAGTGCTCTTAACCTCTGAGCCATCTCTCCAGACCTCTCACTGCTTCTTGATCCATGGTTGAAAATGTGACTGGCCAGCTTCATGATCCGCCAACCATGCATTCCCCACTGTGATGGACTCTGTCCCTCTGAAACCAGCAGACTAGACCCTTAACCCTTTGGCCTGGGTGCTGCATCACAGCAGAACAGTAACTACTGCAGAAGAGAGTGGATTGGCTCACAGATAGAGCACACAGTCCATCCCACAGTGGGATGCAGAGAGGAATGGATGCTGGTGCCCAGCGGTCTGTCTGTCTCCTTTTCACTCTGCCTGGAACTTCAGCCCATAGCATGGTGCTGCCATAGGTAAGGCGGGGGTCTCCTACCTAAAACAATCTCATTTTAGAAAATCCCTCACAGACAAGCCCAAGACTCTATTTCCATTGTGATTCTAAATTCAGGGATGCCGAGAGTGAAGATGGATGGCCTGAGATAGCTCAGACGTGGAAACACACGTCTGTATCTCCTCTCAGCAAACAACCCCCATAATACAACAGCCCTTTCTGACCAAACCCTGTCTCAAATAAACAAATAAATAAGAATAATTTTTTAAAAAGTCTTCTCATTTGAATTTTTTGAGTTGTCTTGTTTCTTGAGATAGGGTCTCACTATTTAGTCCTGGCTGGCATGGAACTGACAGACATCCTCCTGCCTCTGCTTGCTGAGTGCTGGGGTTACAGACTTGTGCCACCATGCCTGGTTAAGTTTGTTGTTGTTTTGAAACAGAGTCTTCCTGTGTAACCTACACTGGCCTTCCTAGCTGGGCCCCTCAACCTCTGAGATTAGAGACTTGTGTCACTATGCAAAACTCTAGTCTGAATTTCTTTTTGCAGAAGTAAACTTAAATTTTGGTATAATTTTAGATTTACAGGAAAAAAACTGCAACGAGAGTCCTGAACTTCCTTTATACCCCCCCCCCCCAGTTAGCCTGTTACAAGCCACGGCAAGCCAGAAATAAACATTGGTCTGCTGCTGTTAGCTACACTCTAGGCTTCATGTAGACTCCTCTGGTTCTTCCTCCAGTGTTTTTTTTCTGTTCCAGGATCCCATGCTGTGTTTAGTGTCAGGGGTGGTTTCCATTTCACAGACTTGGCAGGAGGAGGGGGGCTTCTTCTTGGCGATGAAGAAGGGAATCCTGGGGAACTCTTGTCTCTCTCAGCTGGGGATGTGAGCATTTTTGAGATCCCTTCCACATTTCTAGAAGTGCCTGCTGTTCCAATCTCAGGAAGCTTAAGCACCAGGTAAGAACATAAGACCTTAGAGAATGCTCACATTCACCCCGCCCTCTCCGAACTGTTGCAGGTGCTTGTGTGAGCCCCTAGGGAGAACCTGGGGTAGCCTGACCCTAGCCTTTCTCAGCCAATCCAATCATCAGTCATTGATTGAATCCCTCCTGTGTGCAAGGCCCTCTGGTAAATGTTAGGGGGAAATAGTTTTAAAACAACCATATCCTACCTTTAAGAAACGAAAGTGAGGTGGTGGTACACCTTTAATCCTAGCACTTGGTAGGCAGAGGTGAAGCTCTGAGAGTTTGAGACCAGCCTGGTCTACAGATCCATTTTCAGGACAGTCAGGGCTACACAGAGAAACCCTGTCTCAAAAAATAAACAAAAGGTCCCCCAAGGCCCCCCAAACCAAACCAAACAAACAGAAAACAGAAAAAAGAAAAGAAAAAGAAGGCAACATGCATCCAGAGAGACAGAGACAGCTAGACAGGCAGGTAGCAACAGTATAAACAGAGGCAAGGTGGCATTTCCATCTGGGAGGACTGAAGAGGGCTTATGGGGAAGCTGACTTTTTTTTTTTTTTTTTTTTTGGTATTTACGAGACAGGGTTTCTCTGTATTGTTTTGGAGGCTGTCGGTCCAGCCTGGCCTCGAACTCACAGAGATCGGCCTGCCTCTGCCTCTCGAGTGCTGGGATTAAAGGCGTGCGCCACCACGGCCTGGCTCTGGGGAAGCTGACTTTTGAAACCAAGCCTTGAAAAGAGATAGAACTTGCAGGGGAAAGGTAGACAGAATTCTGGAGGAACGAAACAGGCTCAGAGGAATAGACAGCAAGGGTCAGGTGCAGAGAATGGACTGTGGGGGGGGATATTATTTTAACTAGGCAAAGATGCGTTCCATTTGTTCATGCTGTGCAATATCACTTTAAATGTGGAAAGCTGTGTTGCTTCTGTTTATGCTGCCTTTGTTTAACTATGTAAAGATACATTCCATTTGTTCATGCTATGCAATATTACTTTAAATGTGGAAAGCTGTGTTGCTTCTGTTTATGCTGCCTTTGTTTAACTATGTAAAGCTGTGTTGCATTTGTTCATGCTGTGCAATATTACTTTAAATGTGGAAAGCTGTGTTGCTTCTGTTTATGCTGCCTTTAATTATGTAAAGATGCGTTCCATTCGTTTCACCTCGCCTGCCTAAGGCACCTGATTGGTCTAATAAAAAGCCGAATGGCCAAAAACTGGTTAGGAGAAAGGATAGGGCTGGCAGGCAGAGGGAGAAGGGAAGAATGGGAGGCAGAAGAGGACAGAACGAGGGGCACACCTAGGATCAGAAGCCGGGCATCTGTCATGATTTGTGTGCTGGTGGGGGGACAAAGGAAAAGCCTGGTACAGTAGACAGCACAGGGGTCTCATGTACAGGAGGAAAGAAGGGCCCCTAATGTCATCCACCTCTCCCCAGCCGGCATCCAAAAGCACCCGGATTCTCACATAGAGGTAAAAGCAGAGAGGGTAGAGGGACTGGTGGGAGCTTGTGGTAGTGGTGTAACGGAATGGAGGGCATCACAGGAAGCCGTTTGTCTTCCAGGCCCGCAAGTACCGAATCCAAGGGGATCACAGGAATGGACATGGGGAGGCAGGCAAGAAAAAGGACTGGATAATGATGGACTGTGAGGATGAGGATGAGGCTGGATGGAGGGAGGGTGACTGAGGTCCTAGACCAGCAGGACAGACAGGAGCCAGCTGAGACCATGTCTGTTCAAGGATCTGGTTGAACCCAGGCAGTTTTGAGGTCAAAGATACAGGAGATGGCAACCCAGAGGTCAGGCAGACTGGAGACTGCTGCCCAAGTACAAGTCTGTGGCAAAGACACCAGCCTGCCTGGTGGGCACCAGGAGAATCTGTGCTCCTACATTATTCAGTAAAGATCCATTTCCACGGGGAATGAAAGCATTTCCTCAACTCATAGGTACCACTGCTTGTACTGCATAGAAAACTCTCATGGGGCTGGGGGTGTAGACAATGCCAGTGTGTGTGTGTGCCTGGCATGCATAAAACAATCAAACTTGTAATCCAAGTATTGAGGGAGGGAGGCAGAAGGCTCAGTTCACAGTCATTCTCGGCTACATAGCACGTCCCAACCCTGCCTCAAAGAACAAATAGACCAGCAAAGTTAGCATTGTCCCAGCTCCTAACCTCCCCAGAGTCAGCTCACTCAGAAAAGTCCAAGCTCAAGTCCTGTGGGCCCATTACTTCCAGTCTCAACGTTCTCTACACATCGGCTCTGCCCAGCCTCCACTTACCTCCTGCAGCCTGTGGTCCTGTTTCCACAGGTGTGTCCTGTCACTCCTGTGGGGAACTCACCACACTGATTGCCCTCAGTGTCTGGATCTGTGGGTCACTGTTTAGGACAGTGAGCCTCTCTGTGCCTGGGATCACCTCCCATTCCTCCAGAGGTTGACCTGGAAAATTTCAAAAGTGCAAGAGGTGTGGATTTCTTCTTTTACTGTAAGATTCAATGCTTGCAATGGGTGAAAATGCCCCGCAGGGCCGCGTAGATCGGAGTGGGAAGGGGGGAGGCCAAGCGAGATCCCCCATGCACCCACTCACTCTAGCCGGTGGAGCTGACACTCACCACCCTTCCCACTGCCTGCCCAGGTCCAGTCATCAGCTCCTGGATTCAGCAGAACCAAACTGTGGGATCCTAATGAGCCACGTGACCACTGAGTTCGGATAGCCCTTAGATTAGAGGACGGTGCCTACCGCTATTCGGGCTTGCACTTTGGGGCCAGCAGCATGAGAAGGTCAACTCTGGGACACACCGGACCTGAGTAGGCCCAGCTGGAGTCCGGGAATCGTGCTGTCTGCCTCTGTCTTTCTGGATGAGTTTGCCCATCGTTTGTATCTCCGTGTGTTTCAGTCATGATGTGGGCAGTTGGCTTGTATAAACTATATGGAGATATAGCATTGGTCACAGTCATCATATGGAGTCCATTGATGTTTGAAGTTTCAGGCACCCATGGGGGTTCTTAGAAAGGGTCTCCTAGGTAAGAGCAGTGTAATCTGTTTACCCCAGTTTAACAGAAAAGGACTGAGGATGGAGAGGTCTGAAGGAACCAGTCCAAGGTCACACAGCCCCAAGTGGCAGGGTTCTAATTAATAGCCACCAACCCAGTCCATTCTGTTTAGTTCCAACACCAAGCGTTCCATCCAAAAAGCCTACTCAGCTCTCACTCACCCAGGGAACCCGATTGTCTTTCCTTCCTCAGGGTACCTGGCAGTCTGTCTGTCCAGAGCCAGGACATAGGCCAGTAGCACCAACGCCCATGCATGCTGGAGCATACACTGGTGAGGGTGAGGAAGGGCTGGGTCCATGGATGCAGGGGACAAATGACTGGTTCTGCCTCACAGGTCTGTTCTCAGAGTTGAAGCTGGCTGTGCCTTGGGGCCACATTGCTGTCAAAGTCTGGGGCTCCCAGAAGAACCCTCCAGTTCTCTGCCTGCATGGCTGGCTGGACAATGCCAACTCCTTTGACAGGCTCATTCCTCTTCTTCCACAAGGTGGGGCTATGGGTTGAGGGACAGGGAGGGGTGGAAGCTGCCATGCAGACCCCTCCTCTTCCTCTCTCTGCTGCAGATTTTCATTATGTGGCCATGGATTTCGGGGGACATGGACTCTCCTCCCATTACAAGCCAGGTCTCCTGTATAACCACCAAAATTTTGTGAGTGAGGTCCGAAGGGTGGCAGCAGGTGAGCGAGAGCCCCTGAGTGCCATGAGGCGTCGTGTGTGTTGGGGGATGCTCTGCCACACCCTCTCATCCTAGCAGGTGGGATGCAGAGTCTGCAGACAGCGGGGGTTGGGAATTGATGCCTGGGGTCTGGCTCCAGTTCTCCCAGCCCCTGAGCAGAGCTTGTGTCCTCCACTAGGAGCTTCCCACAGTGGAGCTGAGGCCCCTCAGCTGGTCTCCTGGGTGGGGTGCTACAGGTGCTTGGAGGGAGTTCCAAGCCAGGACACAGGAAGAAGTTTAGAGTAAGGCTGGACCATGCAAACCTTCTGTTTGAATTTGTGTTTTCAGCATTTAAATGGACTCAGTTCTCCCTCCTGGGCCACAGTTTTGGTGAGTCAGCTTTACACTGACCCTGAGTTCTGTGGAGGGATATAGGACAGGGGGAAAACTTGACACCTGGTACCTTTCCCTGCCCCTCTGAGAAGGAAGAAGTCCTCAACCGCTTACCTTAGGGACAGTGCCTCTGGTCTCAGGGGGGGTGTGGACTGTCCTTGTAAGTGTTTTCAGATGGAGGGACCTTGGTGGCCCAGGGAGAAGCACGAGCTGAAGATGCAGAGTCCCAAGCCCATGTGGGAGAGGCTCTGGGGACGGGACAGCCCATAAGAAAGGACTGGGGAGGATGGGGACCTGGAGAGGTCACTTAGATGTCAGCACTGTCTCTGTTCTGGCAGGTGGCACTGTGGGCGGCATGGTGAGTAGCTGGCTGTTCTGGGGTGGCCTGGGACCTTTCTGGGCGTGGGTGTGGGTAGACCAGTGTGAGTAGGACAGGAAGAGCCCCTTCACACAGTGGATGCAGAAGCTAGCCAGCACCTCCTTAGCCACAGGCAACTTCACATGTGCACTGTGTCCTGGGGATGGTTCCGTGTAGTTTCCCCATGTCTCATGTAGGGTTACTGCGGTCTGCAGCGGGGTCTGGGAGAAGCACACTGAAGGGACAGCAGACTCAGCTCTGGGGAAGCCTGTGTCTCCACCCACTCACTTGTTCCTCTGTTGTCACTTTCTAGTTCTCCTGCATCTTCCCCGAGATGGTGGACAAACTTATCTTGCTGGATTCAACACCATTTCTCCTGGACTGTAATGTAGGAAACGACTTCAAAGAGGCTGTCATGGGGACCCCAGACTTTGGGGGTTACCTTCAGCTCTGTCTCCTGTGGACGTTAAGGAGGCAGGAGAGTGTGGCAGAGGGGGATAATTAACCAGGGGTCTCCCCCAGAGAGGGCAGCATCCTGAAGCTTGTGGCCCTAAGATTGCCAGGGACAGGGAAGGCCCACTCTGTGGTCTGGATTCTGCAGAATGCTGGTGGATCCAGCATAGACTGTGAAAGAGCAGAGGTGAATGAAGGGGGCAGACGTAGGTGGAGGGAGTTCGGGGCCACAGGAAGCTCCCTGCCCTGACACCTAAGCAATTCCTTTGAGCTGTGCACACAGAACACAATCCTATATATTGACTGTGCGTGTGACTGATAGAAAAATACCACCGCCAGCATTGACAACATCCAGTACTGTCCCTGTATCTGAGACTAGGCTCTGTCCTTTCCCTACTGTGTTACCTTAAGGAAGTTAGTTTGCTCCAGAGGACTCCATGGTGTGAATTTCCATCTAATTTTCTAGTCTTCAGCTCCCTCAGAACCCTGGGAAGGGAGTAATATCATCTGAGAAAGCCGGAAGTGCAGGAAAGCAGGATGGAGTCGTTGCTGTGGGCCCCATCCTCTCTTTGGAGACTCAGAGATCTCTGTTAGGCACAGTCATACTTCACTGCAGAAAACTAAACATTTTAAATCTCATATACAGCAGATCTCAAAGAGCTTAAAGGTGTAATATTTTTTATGTGCATCCAGAGTACAAAAACTTCATTCCTAGTTACCTGATAGAGACTCAAACCTGAAATCATGTACAGGAAGCTAGATGGAGCCTTTGTCTACAATTAGTAGGTATTATATAGGACCATTAATATCATGACAAAAAGTTTAAAACATGCCTATATAAAGTATGTATATAAATCTTATAAACTATGAGATAATAATACATTAAGAAAAGTGTTTCATACCTGGATGAAATGACAGACTCTGGAGATCCACCATGGAGGGCCACACCCTCACTGGCAATCGGGGTGGAGATTGGGTGGGGAACTGGGGGCCTGGTGGGGAGGGAGTTGGGATTGACATGTGAAACAAGTTTGCTTCTCACTTAAATAAGAAAAGGGAAAAAAGAAATAAAAGATAAAAAGAAAAGTGTTACAGAGTCAAAAAATGCAACACCAAAAAAAAGAATTAATTATGAGATTAGTAGCAATAAAGTCATCCCTAAAGTTTGTTTTTCTTCTGTCCCATATCAGATGGCTCTTCTGACATGAGACAGAGATTTTGGATTTTCCTTTAACAAGCATGCTTAGATTTAGAGAAGGAGAGAACCATACTCCAAATCCTTTAATTTTAGTTGGAGTGGGAGTCCAAAAGACCTTTTGCATTATATGTCTGTAAAGAACAGCAGAAACAAACATTTGCGAAGATTTATGAAATTTTATCTTTTTGGGATGTGATTATATCAATAGGCCAATTTATTCTTTTTCTTGGGACATTTTTTTTTCTGGATGATTTGCTCTTGTCTTCACATGTCTCATTTGTGGTCTTCAGATTCCTTAAATGGATTCCTTCATCCTCCTAAAAGACAAAAAGAAAACCCTGTCCTAATGCTAACTTTGGGGAGGCTTCCTTTTGGCAAGTTGTATCTGCTTAAATGAAAAGCATTTGTTAGTTACATGCGTTAGTTCAGACTGAATGGTCCCACTGTGTGGTGTGCTATCACTGCTTCCAATCAAGAGCTCTTCAGCTTTTTTGGGAGTAGGATTTCAAGACAGGGTTTCTCTGTGTTGGTTTTGTAGGCTGTCCTGTAGACCAGGCTAGCCTCTGCCCCACAGAGATCCGCCTGCTTCTGCCTCCTGAGTGCTGGGATTAAAGGCGAGTGTCACCACAACAAAGAAAGAGGTCTCATTAACTTGAGTCTAATCTATATCATATTTGCTCTGGAAGCAGAAATTGGGGTGTCCTCAGTATTAAATCTTAACAGAGCCCTGTACCATGTCTGGGTTTCAGGACCTGAAGAGCCCAAGCCTGGGTTCCTCCCGTTTTCCTTCAGCTATGTCCTTGTGAGCCTAGACTGCCGCTGAGGTTCAGTCATTTAGTCCTGGTAGCAGGCTAGCACGAGCTGATGCTGCAGGGAGCAGCTTCCAGTACTGTGGGAGGTGGGGGCACTGACAGCTGAGCTGAGATCTGAACTCACTCTCAAGGCCAGGCTTTTCTTTCAAATAAGACTACTAAGGAATAGTGTACATGTCACACAACCATCCCCCTGCCTGTCTGAAGCACACTGCAGCCTAGGCTGGCCTCAAACTTGCCATGCTCTCCCTAGTCCAGATTTGCAGGTGTGAGCCTCCATGCCCAGCCAATTCCTTGTTCTGAAGTTGCCGGTAGCCATAATTTATAAAGTGTTAATATTCTCCCAATCTATAATGACTTGAACATTTCACTTAAAAAAATGAATCCACCTTCCAAATATCCTAGGAACAACCCATGCCAAAGGCTAAAATTTCCTCAGATTTCCCTGCTGTTGCCGCTGCCACCATCACCAACCAAAAGGAAATGATCAGGCTAGACCAACAGCATGTTGTTAGCCTGGGAAAATTCCAAATTCAAAATTCTGAATGAACCTAGAGGTGGAGTTGCCTTCCTTAATCCCAGCACTCAGGAAACAGACACAGGCAGATCACTGTGAATCTGGAGGCTAGCCTGGTCTAGTGACTGAGTTCCAGGACAGCCAGGGCTACACAGAGAACCCTATCTCAATAAACAAAAAATTCGTGAATGTGAAGACACTCATGTCTTTCACCCATTGGTCTTCAGGGTTAACTTGGCTGATGGGGCTATTTGCCTGTCGCCTCCAGCATCACTGCAGGTGCCTCCTTCCTGATGCTGCCCTCACACAGGACAATCTTCCCCATAGAGTGGGACTTAGCAAGCTCCCAACATTGCCTGTGCCCGACTATGATGTGCATTCTGCTTCCTCAGCATGAGAAACTGGAGTCATAAGCACAGCCCATGTTCACCTTCCCCAAAGACCTGCTGATCAGTGCTGCAGTCCTCACCCCTGACCCATGCTTCCCGCAGTCCTCACCCCTGCCCCTGCTCCCCTGCAGCCCCCACCCCTGCTCCTGCTCCCCTGCAGTCCCCACCCCTGCTCCTGCTCCCCTGCAGTCCCCACCCCGGCCCCTTCTCCCCTGCAGTCCCCACCCCTGCTCCTGCTCCCCCGCAGTCCTCACCCCTGCTTCCAGGTTTCCTCTTGCGTTGCCTTCCCCCTCCCAGCACCTGCTGACAGTGATGGCTCCTGAGAGAGGTGGAGTGGACTGTGGTGTGTCACTGGGAGAACTAACACCTTGTGCCGCACTCAGCAGTTCCTGGTCTCTGGGTTCTAGACTCACCTGATCAGCAACACATCAGCCTGCAGGCGGCTGATAAAGTGCACTAGCATCTCCTTGCTCACGAAGTCAAAGCTGTGCTCTGGCTGCAGAAACAAAACCAAGGGAAAACCCATGCTGCCAAGTCCCGTGTGCACCTGTAGTCAGAGTCCTCATTTCAGGGCGCCTGAGTTCCAGTGAGGTCAGCTGGGCCACCCACCCAGGAGGCCAGTGTCCACCAAGTCGCTTACTCATCAAGGCTTCTTAGTTCTGTCTCCCACCCCCATATCTCTTCTCCCTTCTGGTGGACTCCATTCACAGACCACGTTACAGCTGGGGGTGGCTGTTGACTTGAGGACACTTCAGGGACTGTTTAGGACGAGGAGCCCCATGCAGACCCTTCCCTTTGGAGAGGCAGCTGTGGGCTCTGGATCTGCCTTGCATAGCTCATTCCCTTCATGAAACAGCTTCCACTTGAGAGAAATGTGTTTGGACCACAGCACAGGGTGAGTCCTCCATACTGTCTCCACCCCGTCCTTGCTGCCGTCCTTGCTGTTTAATAAGGCTATGCTGCAGTGCCCAAAATGGAGGCCTGCAGCCCCATGCAGCTACTGATGCACACTGTAGATCACGTGCATGGCAGGTGTGATATGCATGCTAGGATCAGGAGACTTCCTAGGAGAGAGGATACAGTCAATGCAGGAAAATAAAGATGTCAGCACGGCTGGGCTGAGACCGTAGGTCAGTGGCTGAGAGCCTGCCCTGGTGAGTCTCTGATACCCAGTCTATACACACTGGGAAACATTCACTCCTGGATAGGACAGATGTCTCAGTAGAGTCCTTGGGACAAGACCTGAACCTGATCCTCAGACTTCATGTTTAAAACAACTGGGCATGCTGAGACATTCCTATAGTTTCAGCCTCAAGATGGAGGGGCAATGGATCCTTGGAGTGTGCTGGCCACCAGCTTAGTCTATTTGGAAAGTCTAAGACCAGCTCAAAAAATAGATAATAAATAGATGTGAGCATTGTGGCTGGGGAACTATAGCCGAGGGTGACCTCTGACCTGCACATGTACATCATACACATGCTCACACAGACACACACAAGGTCACTCCTTGTGCTGCTCCTCAGATTAAGATCACCATGGGTACATTTTCAAAACAAAGATTGCCACATCACCTATGAGGTCCCACAGTGTCTCAGTTCTGTTCTCAGAGCAGAGCAAGTGCTGGAGAGCTGTGCCACGCTGCCTCCCGGGGAGGGCAGGTCTGTGGCCTCACTGCCAAGAAGTGTGGTGGGCAGGGGTGGGGTGGGATCTAACCCTGGCCACTGCCAACAGCTAACAGAAGGTGGCATCAGACTCAGTCAGATGGGGACTTGGGCCTTAGCCTCTAATCTTCCTCCTTTTCCTCAGGGAAACTGGAATTGTCTGGCTCAAGGGTACAATCAGGCCTCAACCTTAATTTAAAGTTGGTCCCAGGCAAGGCTTAGGCGATGTTACCTCTGCTCTTGCCTGCAGATGTGAAACTCTTGTGAGTTTCTATGGCAGCTTATTTCTCCTCTGTGAGCTGACCTTGCTGATGGCCCCTGCCTGTCCCCTCTTGTCAGCACCCCTCAATGTGTCTTAACTTTTAATTTTATTTGTTTCCTTGTTTAGTTATTCATTTGTTTTGTGATTTTTCACACAGGGTTTCTTTGTGTAACAGTCCTGGCTGTTCTGGATCTCACTTTGGAGATCCACCTGACTCTGCCTCCCAAGTGCTGGGTTTAAAGGGGGTGCAACACTATGGTCGGTCTTTCTTTTTTATTTTAAACTTCTTTATTTTATTTCCTGACACACACACACCCTTTCTTTCTTTCTTTCTTTCTTTCTTTCTTTCTTTCTTTCTTTCTTTCTTTCTTTCTTTCTTTTTGAGTAATAAGATTAAGACAACAGTAAATTCCAATGAACTTTGAGCTCTGAGGCATTTTGCAGAGGACACAGGATGTGAGACCTGGACCCAGGTCCTTGTGCCCTGCTGGTCCTGAGACTCACCTGGGTCAACCCAGAGGGGAGACCACTGTGTTCTCTAACCCTCCTGCCCCGCTGCTGGCTTCCTTCTCTCTACAACTGTCTCTGAGAGACTTCTTCCATGAGGGAAATGATACACAATCCTGAGACAAGGGTCTGTATCTCTGTACATGCACACGTATGAAAAGATACTTGGGGACACTTGGGGAAAGTATGTTGATGCATGCACACATGGTCAAAGTCATAAAAGGGAGAAAGGGATCTGGGGATGTAGCCGTTGGAATAACACTTGCCTAGGGTGCACAAGGTCTCACGTTCAATTGCCGGCACCCGCCTTCCCCGTGTGTGTGAGAGAGACAGATTGGGGATGACACCAGAACCTTTGTGCACCGTTGGTGGGAAGATGAAACAGAGGAGCCTCTGGAGACAACAGTTTAGCACCTTCTAAAGATCAGTCACAAGTTACCCTGGGCTCCAGCAAGTCTCTTGTGCCATATCCAAGATCTGGAAGCAAGGACTCAGACACTTGTACTCGTGTTACAGCAACACTGATCTGAATTGCCAAAACACGAATCCCAATGTCTATGGGCAGAGGGCTAGACATGGAAAATGTGGTGTGGGCTAGCAAGATGGCTGTGTATAAACGC